CGGTTACGGTACGTACCGTACGTACGTAGTACGTACGTACGTTAGTTAGTAGTTAGTACGTACGTACGAAGAAGAAGAAGTAATAATAGTGTGAGAGAGAGAGAGAGAGAGAGAGAGAGAGAGTAGAGAGAAAGCAGAGAGAGAGCTTGGTATCCAAGCACTGAAGCACGACACTCGCTCAAACCCTTCTCCCATAGCCCCTCCTTTTTCGCTCTCTGCACCAGCATTTTCTAGGGTTTCATCTCTCCCACTCATTCCTCTCCTCAGCGAACCAGTCTCTTGGGGATCAAGAGCAAGAGTCTTCCGCCAAAACAATTTGTCTCCTTTCAATAAACTCTGGCTTTCACTCAACAGACAACGTAGGGCATTTTCTTTGCACCCAAGACCCAATCTCTCCCCCCCTCTCTCTCTTTGCTTCCATCTTCTCTCTCTTATCCAAACTTCCCTAATCTACCTAAAGACAGAGAAAGCCCACTGGTTGGCACCATGGATGCCTATTGTTATGGCTTCAGAGAGAAGCTAAAATAATGAGAGAGAGAGAGAGAGAGTAGAGAGAAAGCAGAGAGAGAAAGCTTGGTATCCAAGCACTGAAGCATGACACTCGCTCAAACCCTTCTCCCATAGCCCCTCCTTTTTCGCTCTCTGGACCAGCATTTTCTAGGGTTTCATCTTTCCCACTCATTCCTCTCCTCAGCGAACCAGTCTCTTGGGGATCAAGAGCGAGAGTCTTCCGCTAAAACAATTTGTCTCCTTTCAGTAAAGTCTGGCTTTCACTCAACAGACACCATAGGACATTAGAGCTGGGAGAAAGAGTAGGTGAGGGGTTTAGAGAGAGAGGTTTGAGAGAAAGGTATAGCGAGAGAAGATGAGAGAGAAAATGACAAGAAAATTCCCAAAAAGCATAGAGAGAGGGAGAAGCACAACATTATTTCTTTTTCGCTATTTTCGAGACAGCAAATATAGCAACCGTTAAGCCCTTCGTCAATGCTTTTTTAGGTTTCAAAAAACTTTTGAGAGAGAGAGAGAGAGAGATGTGCATGTGTCACTTGGGTAGCCACGTGCCCTTCTTAAATTTTCAAAAAAAATAATTTATTTATTACATTTTATTAGGGTTTGAAAAAAGGGATTGTCTACAAAAGAGACTGTTTATCTTTTGTACATAGAGGTCGCAATTATTCTTGTCCCTTAAATTTCAAAATGGGTGATTGTAAGAGTGGCATTGAATAGACACAAAGTTCCAAAAAAAAATTCTCTGGCTTCTTGACTTACCCCAAGCCATCCAATTTGACATCTAATGAGTGGGAATGATTGTGACCTCCATGTACAAAAGATAAATGGTCTCTTTGTAGACAATCCCTTAAAAAAAATACTTTAATATAATTTTTTATAGAAAAAGGCTTTTTTTTGGGGGGAGGGGAGATGGAAACAAATTTGAAGTAAGAGATCTTATTTCAGCTTGGCCCAACCTGATAGACATTATCGGGCTGAAAGCGGGCGGGCTTAAGAAAATATTTTCGGGCTGGGCCGGGCCGTTTCAAAACTAGCAAAAAAAAATCAGCCTTTTTTTAGGCCCTAGTCAAGCCGGTCCGAACCCGGCCCGGTGGCAGCCCTACTAACACCTCCATGGCGATTTCTATTGGAAAACCTTCTCTTCATGCATTCTTGTGTCCCCCTTACATATGTGCCATGGTGTTTCTGGGGGAATAAATATTGGGTTTTGTGGCCTTTAAAGACCTAGAGAGCTTGTAAAAATGATAATTTATGGTGGAATATATACTTCAATGGGAGTATGTGTGCTGACTGATCATGGGTTAGGCAGTTTATGGCTCTGATTATGTCCAAAACCCTGGGCATGTAGCACTTCCTAATAGGGTTTATAGTGGTGTCATCCCTTGTTGAGGTCGGAGAGATGCACAAGAATGATGTTTGTAGGCCAGGAGAACTATGTGGTCTCCTGTGTGTGGTTGTAGACTTGTGAGAGAAAAGACTACAACCTCAATAACCTTCCACACGACATGTACATATGACAACCGCATTACTGAGAAGAAGCCCTATAGAAGGATCAATGTTTTAAAAAACGGTCCGCCTGGTGCCTAGGCGCCCGCTTAGGTGGCCTGGACCAAAATCCGGCCGCCTAGACCTAGGCGGCCCTACACGGGCAGATGTACCTGGGCGAGTGCCCAGGCGGGCTAGGCGTTTTTTGTTTTTTTAAATTACGGGGCGCCCGCCTAGGCGCTGGGCGCCAGGCAGGCCGCTTAGCGTTTTTTGAAACCTTGAGAAGGACATGTGTACATGTGCGTAGAGAGGGCCCCTTCTACACTGTGGTGATAAGTGTTGGACTTGCTCTTAAAGGGGGGGATTGAAATCTACATTCCATAATCACGATTTCACTGTTTATTGTCCAACTTTGACCAGTCAATCATGAGCCCATACATCGAGATTGTGGGTCATGGGTCCTTGTTGAGTTGGACAAGAAAACAATAGTGGATCATGGTTCTTGGGTCAAGTGGAGTACCCTTATTATCGTTAATTTTAACCCATTGGTACCAGTCCACTTTTAAAATATTTTATTTTGGTTTTACAAATGTTTATATGTTTTTTTAATAAATTTTTCAGAATTCTAAAAGTTTATTTCTATTGTAAAATCCTTCAAAGGGACATTTTTGTGATTTTTGAAATCTAGAAGGGCACATGTGGGGCCCAGGATCTAGCCCCACATGTCTGCCACCAATGAGTGGGACGTGGGCCATTGTGGGGACCACTTAATCTTTCCTGGGTGGCACACCCTCTTTATTTTATTTATGTGCATTTCTTTTCTGTTAGAGGTTATTTTAGGAGAATCTTTAAAATATTAAAAGATTGTTTTAAGTAGGAGTTTGGTTTGACCAAAACTCTAATTATCTTGATTTCCTACAAATTTTGAAAAGATAGTAGGAAGTTTCGGATTTTATTATATTCTAATTTAAATAGAAGTTGGACTTGAGTCAAACTATAAGGGGATAAGGTTCCTAATAATCTTCCCAAAATCATGGTAGTTGATTTGTGGGATGGATGGTTCAATTTTATTCTCTCACCCCACAGATTTCCTATGTTCTTATTGGCCAAATGTCATTAGATAGGCAATGCCGAAGGAAGGAATTCTAATCCAAATAGGATAAAAAATTCTTTTTGTTTGAACACCATTGAGCTCATCTCTCTCAAGAACACAATATTTCTCTCTCCTCCATGCACCAAGTCTCTATCTCTCTCAGTAAAAGTTCATTTTTCTCTCCCCCTATCACGGTCATGCTACCCAAAATTTGATAAGACAACGCTGACACATTGAAACCCTAATTAGGGTTTTGTTGTTTGGAGAAGAATAGGGCTAAGAATTGTTCGGATTGGGTCTGGATCCACCCAGATCTGAATCTAAAAAAGTATACATCAGATCCAGATCCGATCGGACCCAGAATATTGGGATCTGGATCGAAAACTCTATACAGGATTTGAATTCGAATCTAGATCTGGATTAGTCCCAATTTTGTATATTATAAAGTTAAAATATAATTATAAAAGTTAAGATAATTATATATATATTAATAAATATAAATTGTAACATATATGTGTATATGTAGATATAATAATATATATTATTTTAAAAATTCGTCGGATCCAAACCGGATCCACCTAAAACTGGATCCAACCCGAATTACTATTTGGATGTAAATTTTGGATCCATACCTAGATCTAGATAGGATCTGAATTTCAGGTTTCAGATCCAAATCGAGTAAATTCTCAGCCCTAGAGAAGAAAAAGGGGTATGCCCAGCCACAAGAGGATTCTATGCCTTCAAGCCCAACCATAATTTGTTCCTAAGGGTTCCTATAAACCCTAGTTAGGTTTCTTGCTCTCTAAAACCTTAGAGTAAGAGACATTGCTATGAAAGCTTACCATCGCTGAAATTCCAGCAATATCAAAAGGGACAAAAGTGCACCATCGTTTAAGGAATCGGTGTGGGTGGATCAAGACCTGTGAGGGCAACTCCAGACACCTTCTAGTAAGTCTTCTCAGTAAATTTAATTATTCTTTCAGTCTTATTTCATATTATTCTGTAAATTTCCATGAACATATATTGTACTCAAAACGATAATGGAAGGTTGGTTATTGCTCTTGGATGGTTTTTAGTTGCATCGGAACTAAAAGTAAAGATCCTAGGTTGTATTTAGGGTTTTAAATTTATTTTACAACAATGTGTAGTGGGCCCATGTAAGTGGAATTCATGTATATTGAATAAAAGAAGAAGAAAATCTTTGAATTTAATACCTTGAGTTCCACATAGCGACTCCTCAATAAATATGTCCTAAGTTTTAACTGAAATCAAGTGCATGTCTATTTATATATGTGGGATTGAAAAGGCATTATTTCCCAACTTAGAATGACCAGATTAACCTTCTGACTGAAACCCGTTTAGGCAGGCTGGTATATGCATAAAAGCAGCAAGGCCAAGAACAATCAAAATCAGTCATTGAACAATGCAAATTGTTGGTCTAATAATTCTTACAACTTTCCAGGAACCAACTGGCTAGTAGGTTTTCTTTTCCATTTTTTGGCCATTTTGTTAGGGTGTGAAATCCTGAGCAAGGGTCACTTTGCATGCCAGTGAATTGCAGGCCGTATCAAGGTCATAAGCTTCACCTAATTAGATTTTGGTTGGTGGAACACTCAATGATAGATAAAGCACCTCCTGTCTTGTCTTCATGTCGATGGATGGCCTCCATATTTGGGTTATTATTAGTTTCTAATGACTTGGATTATTATACTAGTTTCATCTAGATTGAGGGTAATTCTAATTCCTATCCTTGCATCATCATCATTGTTAAAGCCTTTTTCCAACTAATTGGAGTTGGCTACATGAATCCTGGTCCGCTATCAGCTTTATTAAGGGTCATACTCTCAATGAGGCTATGAGTCCCCATATCTTTTCTTACTTATTCCAACCATGTCTTTAGCGCTTTTTGAGCCTTCCACTTGAAGTAACTTGTACCTTCTAACAGGTGTTGTATTGAGTCTACGTCACACATGACCAGCCCACCTAAGTGTACTCTCTCTCATTTTATTGCCTATAAGTGTCACACCTAAATTTTTCCGAATCTATTCATTTTGAATTTTTATCCATTCTTGTCTTGCCACTCATCCATCTCTACATCCTCATCTCTACTACACTCATTCTATGGGTAATATTATTTTTTGACCGCCCAACATTCCCCCCCATGGAGCAAAGCTGGATGTAGACTGATATTTGTATATTGTATGCTTCCCTCTTATATTAGCCAAATCAGTTTTGTAGTTATGTGCCAGCAGCTTGATGTTTGATTTACGACTTGAGAGGTCTATGCTTCATGTTGACCTTAAGATATTCCTTGACTAAGAGGATAACATTTACCCCAAGCTTTCTGTAAACATCGATTATGTGCCTTTTGTTTCTTTTTTTTTCAACAGGATGAGGGACCCCTACCCGTTTCATTAATTAATCAAAAGATATTACAAAAGATACATCAAGGAGCCCATAGAAATTGAATATTGGCAACATAATAATTTAAAAAATCAGGAGGACAAGGATGCCAAATTGTAGCGTCCAAGCATCTCGTGTTATAATTTGCTAATGGATCAGCAACATGGTTTGCTTATTGAAAAACATAATTCAAGATACAATGCACATCCCGAAGTGTATGAACAAGTGTAGAAAAATGCTAGGGGAATGCTTAGTACAAGAAAGGAATCCACCAATAGTTTGGAATCACTCTCAATCTCTATCTTAGCAAGCTTAAGCTCTTTTAGTAGCTGAATATCTTTTTTGAAAGCCATAAATTCTGCTGCATTATTTAAATTCATACCAATTAGAATTGAAAAACCTGCAAGAAATCTAGCAAAATGATCACAAATAACACCCCCACTTCCTTCCGACCTGGTTCCATTCAGTTTGAAACCATCTTAAAGATGGAGAACACCAAAAAATAATGGACATGGTTGTTGGGGGGGGGTGGGGCAGGTGCCTATATCCATTTAGTTTAAGGTTATCATTGATAGCCTTCTTATTTAAATGAAAGGACCATATGTTCATTCTGCCATCTCAATGATGTGGCTCACCATGCGATTCACTGTCCTCTTCCTTGAGACCACTTTACCCTCATAGATTTGATTCCTCTCCTATAATATAAACCAAATAATGACTGAGAAAAAAGACAACCACACCTTAGTCATGCCCTTCGACCTGAATTTCCGCTATCTATGAAACAGTTGCAAAGCGTTCTCCCCCACATTAAACGACTAGCGACATCTCATCATAATACACCCCCACTTCCTGCCGACCTGGTTCCATTCAGTTTGAAACTGTCAAGATTGAGAACACCAAAAAATAATGGACATTGTTGTGGGGTGGGTGGGGGGGAGGCCAGGTGCCTATATCCATTTAGTTTAAGGTTATCATTGATAGCCTTCTCATTTAAATGAAAGAAGCATGTCTTCATTCTGCCATCTCAATGATGTGGCTTACCATGCGATTCACAGTCCTCTTCCCACTTTGCCCTCTTAGATTTGATTCGTCTCCTGCAATATAAACCAAATAATGATTGAGAAAAAAGACAACCACACCTTAGTCAGGCCCTTCGACCTGAATTTCCGCTATCTATGAAACAGTTGCAAAGCATCCTCCCCCACATTAAAGGACTACCAACATCTCATCATAATAGATCTCCAAATCATCCTGGATAAAGAACACTCAAGTAAAATATTGTTTATTAAATAGCAGAAACCACAAAAAGAGTGACACATCTTGTGTGCTTGGGCACTTGCAATTGCATCTGTGCATGTAGAAGTTGTATGTTTGCACATGTATATGGACAGATCTGCTTTTGACTGCTCTTGGTGTGTTGTTGCTTGAAAGAGTTGCTCCATCAGGCCATTAAACTATAGATGTTGGGTCTGAAAACATTATCAATATCATGCTTACTTAGAAACTATAGATAGAGGATTTAAAAATATTATTAACATCATGGTTATTCGTCTGTGTAAATTTGTTTATAAGCATTTGTTTGTGCAACAGCACACACATGATTGTGTGTATGCATCTATATGCATGTGCATACATATATTTGTAGATGGGTTTATGTCTATGTGCATATACTTGCATATGGATCTCATTCATGCATACAAATATGTGGGTGTATAGATTCCATGCATGCAATATATTTACGCCTGTATGAACATGGTTATGCAGGCACAAGTTTCCACGCTGACCATTTTGTGAGTTTTTGTGAGAATGCATGCCTAATGCATATATGGAAAAACATATGCACATGCTTGTACATGGTCCAGATTGCGGTCTAAAAACATATCCACTTATTCTATAATCTATATCTCAGCATGTGCTTCCACACATAATGTGCATCCTCGTTTGCACGTTATTTGTGCAAATTCACAAATGGTTGTACAAGCATGGTTGATGCAGGTATTACTATTGTTTGTAGAAAGATCGTCGCATTAGAAATGCAGATGACCGTGTAGACATGCTGAATTTATACACAAGTAAAACATATAAAAGCATTCATCGACACAATGTAGTGGTTTGAAATTGTACTTAAATGAAGACTGTTGTCATATGCACATGCATGCATGCCTGCTTTGACACATTCGTGTGTGCATATAGATTGTAAAATTCTTTCCTTATGAATGGTCTTGCTGGAAATTTTTGTGTTTAGAAGGTAATCTTTTGCTCATTTTGAAGAGTTATATTGAAATATGTTTAGATATGGGGATTTATAGCCTTGTGAGGGAAAGGCCCTTGATAGAGCAGAATAGCAGACCAGTATTCGTGTACCCAACCTCAAATAGGTGGGAATAGGCTTTGATGATGATGATGATGTTGAAATATTGTTCATCAAATTTGGCCTAAAATTTTTCCTAATGGAAATTGGTTGTTTTGAAGAAAGGTTATATCTTGGGATCATAATCATGAGAGTGGAGTTTTTCTTTTCTTATACTCTTATACTCTTTTCTTCTTTTTTTTTTTTTTGATGGGGGTTTATTTCATTTTAGCTTATATTCTGATAAGATTAAAAAAAATGCATTATTTTATGTATCTATTATGTCAGTACATTTTTTTACCCTCAGGCAAAGGAACGTATCTGCCGATTGATAACAAGTGGCGTAGAAAGTGGTGCTAGGCTCGTACTTGATGGGAGAAAATTTGAGGTATTCCATTAAACTTGGTTGCCCTTTTCTATATTCCACAGGATGTCACCTATCTTGGGAAATTTTCTTCAAATAAAATCAGTAAGAAAAAATTGCTCCAAATTAAGGCTTCTACTAAGGTGGACTAGATCCTGTCTTTTATATTGTGGTCAAGTTCCTGTTCACCCTAATCATTTATTGTTCTTTAATGTTGAGTGAGGCCTCTCTAGGATGGATTCTTTTGATTTTGGACAGCCTTGGGTTTGCAGAGTGGACAGAGTACTGTAAATAATAAGTTTCAGCAAAGAAAAGATGATAGCTAGCCTTCTGTTTCAAATAATTTTTCTTGTGCTCATACTTGGTGATTTAAACTTCTTGGGTATCTAAAATAAGGATAGAAGAAAAAGGAAAGCAATTTGGTAATCATTAGAAACCCAGGGTATCTTTTCCTTATGTCTGCTGCATCCTCTTTGCTCTCTTTTTGTTATTTCTTGCAAACTTCTGAGGCTTAAAATACTCATTCATGGCCATCATTCACACAGGTACCAAATTACAAGAATGGGAACTTTGTTGGCCCCACCATCTTGAGTGATGTGATGAGTGACATGGAGTGTTATAAGGTAATGGCCATGGCCTTCTAGTGCATTACATGTTTATACATGTTTCTCACTGCGAACAAATTGTAACCAATTATACGGTGAACAGGAGGAAATTTTTGGACCAGTTCTACTTTGCATGCAGGTGAGTTGATTGAATGTAGTTGTTTTAAAGTTCTTCCTGTTTGCTCAGCTTTGCTGCATACTCCTTGGGCTAAGCAAAGATTGTATCTTGATTTTTATTTCTTTTCTCAATCCTGACAGGCCGAAAGTCTAGACGCGGCTATTAAACTTGTCAATAACAACAAGTATGTTTCACCTTTAAACAGAGCTCTTATGAAACAAACTTGAGTTTTGATTGTCGAAAAGAGAGAAACTATGAAGTGGGGAAGTCAACCATCATTTTTAAAAAAAAAGAGCCTGTGCGGTGGGGGTGGATTGGCAGTGGAATGATGTGGTTATATTTGATGTTACAGGTATGGGAATGGGACATCTATATTTACCACTTCAGGTGCAGCTGCTAGGAAATTCCAGGCTGAGATTGAAGCTGGCCAGGTAACTCCTGCCTTTGTTATCAAATGAGAGTCTAATGGGCCTTTGAACTCTTTAGAATGTCAGAAAGATTGGGAAGAAAAAGAATAGTAAAAAGTAGAAATCTTGTTACTAAATAAAAATGCTAAAAATGATAATGAATGATAAAAATATGTGCAAAATCTCTCTCTCTCTCTCGTGGCACGTGTGCACACGCTCAAATGCAACAACTTCAGCATGAGCATTGACATGTTCTAGTACTTGATTTTAACCATTGACATGCTTTGGTAATATTCATGAAGGTTGGTATAAACGTTCCCATACCAGTACCTCTGCCATTCTTCTCCTTCACTGGAAATAAGGCTTCTTTTGCAGGAGACTTGAACTTTTACGGTATCATATCATACTATTTTTTCTTTCAAAAAGAGTACAGAAGTTCTTCTATTCAAAAGTGTTATCGCAACAGTGTTATGGCATGATCAAGTGGACTATGAATTACCATGGTCTGAGGCCACATCCGGTCAACTGTTAGCAGGAATGGACGGTTGATGTGCTGTTGGACCATGATTTTCCATACACCATTGGATTATGTTGTACTTCCATTTTCCTGTGAATTATACATGTCTGTGGAGTTCTATGCATTATATTTTCACATTGGCCTTCATTGCAGGCAAAGCTGGAGTACAGTTCTACACCCAAGTCAAAACTGTGACCTCTCAGTGGAAGGATCTGCCAAGCCAGGGAGTATCCTTGGCATTCCCAACCTCACAGAAGATATAATGGGAATATACATCCTTGTCTTGTTCCAGTCATCTGTGTACAATCTTTCCAGTTCTTACATGGTCTTATATCTATCATAGTGATGTCAACTCCCTGATGCTATTTAATTTGGACCTAATAAAGTCAGGCCTTTGATACGTGTTTTACCTTATGATACATCGACATATACTCTCTCTCTCGCTCCTCTTTTCCGTGTGTCTCAAATGAGAAACCTCAAAGAAATCTATTTTTGGCTATACTCCCATGGGAGTGTACTGACTATACTCTCTCGGGTAAAATCCCAACTAGAATTAATTTTGGGACTTTTAACTTCTTGGAATGGAACTTCTTCAACTTAATAAAAAAAAAAAATCCTAATTACCCCTTGTGTACTTGAAAAAAATAATATCTCAAGATTGAATAGAGACCATGGAATTTTTTGATGGTGAGATCTAAGTGTTATAAATCTTAAGTTTCAAATTCTTTTTTTTTGTTGAATAATAATCTAGTGATTCTTAGGTGGTTCCCAAAATTTCAAATTGAAAAAAACCTCCTATGTAGGTCTTCTAACCGAGGAAGTAGAAGCAATGCGTCTTTTTTAAGTGTTCAAAAATTTGCCTCCGCCATTTTTGCATATTCAAATCTTATAATCAAAATTTTTAAAAAGGATATAGTGAATTTGAAAAATCTTTTTTAAAATTCAAGGTGTATATAGTGAATTTGAAAAGGATGCGGTAGCCTGCTGCTAAGCCTGTATAAATGTGGGCTTGGCAATAAATATATGTTTGAAATATAATTTGATCCTCGGAAAATTGTTTCATGCCGGTTGGATCGCACATGTAGTCCAGAAACTTAAAGATTGATGATGCAAGTAGGTGTTCCATCTAAAAACAATAGAAACTAACGGTTTAAATGTTTTTTTACTAGAATTAATATTTTAAAATTTTAAAATTTATTTATTTAGTCATATTCATGATCTCCATGTTAGAGATTACATATCTTTAAAATTTAAGTTTTAAAATGCATCTCAAAAATAGATTTATTAAGAGGCCCGAATTTCTACATATGCAGGCTTGGCCGCATAGAATATATAATATTTAGCATGGAGATCATGAATATGAAAAATAAATAAATTTAAAAATTTAAAATAATAATTATATTAAAAAAACATTTGAACATTTAGTTACAATTGGTTTTAGATAGACCACCTATTTGCATTTAAGATGGATGCTTTATACCTCTAGACCACATATTGTACAAATGCCGTCCAGCCCACATGAAACTATTGTTATTTGAAAAAGAGAATAAATGTTAATAAAGTAACTAGATCTGCACCATCTTTTAAGGTTTAAATTTTACAATTAAAACATAAAAAAAAAGTTTAAACTATTAAATATTTTACTTCAAAATTGCACTTTCGAGAGTACACCTTAATTTGCAGTTTACACCAAGCTTTATAAACTGTTTGATGGTCAGGGAGCCAGCTATTGAGCTGCTCCTTAATTTCATAGTTGAAAATTTGATTAAATTACCTAAAAGATTCATAATTTAGGAAACACTTTAAGGTAGAATTACGGTGCACCTTAAAAATTTATTAGAAAACATTGTTTTGCTGTTGAAAAACCCTTTAATTGATCACACATGATAAATATGAATATGTGAAAAAAGAAAGATTTCAATTCTCAAGAGTAGAATACTGCATCTTGCACCATAATTTTGGTGTAAAAAATTATTAAGATTATTTTAAAATCTATTTTGATCTTTAATTATAAAATTTTAAACTCTAAAAATAATCAAAATCTTAAAAATAGACGGTCTGGATAATGTGTTGCAAGATGCACATTATTTTATTTTATTTTTTTTATTTTTTTCATATTCTGGAATGATCAATTAAAGGGTTTTTTTAACACTAAAATAACCTGATCTGAGGGATTTTTTGGTGCATTTTTAATCCTACATTTGAAGGTTGCAAGCTTATATAAACTATTTCCTTTAAATAATTTGATATCGCCAAAAGATTTCCACAGAGAGAGAGAGAGGGGAGATGGGTGGGCACCCATGTTGCACTTCTTCCTCTCAGCTCGTCCCTGTCATGTCACTGAGAAACCCGGCAAAATCTTGCAGTTTCAACAATGCTTTTCCCACAATAATCACACATACTCATCCCAGTGAATCAAGAACAAGGACACTATGTAATCGTAGCAGTAGCAGAAGAAGAAGAAGAATGGTGGGAGACACGGAGTTAATCTCAAGTCCCTCAAACCCATTTGTGAAGCACTGCGTCAAGCTTCGCCTCAGCGCTCCCTATCGCCATTCCACTCGCTCTGCCCTCCTCATTGGCACCACCCCATTAAGGCTCTCTCTCTTGATAGACACAGTCAATAACTATTCTTTCTCTGTCATGAATATCATTCACCATTTGTTTGCCTACCATTTACTAGTTGTACTACCTGTGTTTCACATTGTTGATTTGTATCCAGTAAACAAAACCACTAATGGCTTCTCAAAAATAAAATAAAATAAAAATAAATTGAATAAAACAAGACAAGAAAAATGAACATTTAGAGGCGTTAATACAGAATGACAAACATTTATTCCAGGTAAATTGAAGAATTCGACTGAAATTGTTTTTCTGTTTTTTTCCTAATGATGATGGTGGTGTTGATGATTAAATCCTCGTACTTTATAAGACTTGAGAATATTTCTGTTCTCTTATTCTCGGAATGGTTCAGGTGGAAACAAGAAAAGTACTTGCTAGGTTCTTATGAGACAGACCTGACCTTTTTTTGTTTGTTTAAAAATTGATCTCCCTCATTTGGAATTGAATGCTCGCTTGCAAAATAATATTTCTTTTTTCTTTTATGGTCTTATTGCTAGATTGTATGATTTAATTCCATTCCCTACAAACTGGACTTTTTTTTTTGCCCCTGATTTTAAAGTTCACTTGTTTAAACATTTTTCTGATGCTATAATCTTCAAAGTTCGAAGCATTCCTCAGAATTGCATTCAGACCATATGCAGTTTTGGGGTCTCATCATAGTCTCCTCTTCTAGACTATGGTTAGCAGGCAACTCTTTCGAATACCATGAGGCTTTTATTAATTCGAGCCTTCCAGTTTATGGTGGAACTTGAGATTGAACCATTTGCAGGAAATACATGTGCATCAAGCTCTCCATATCTGTACCACAAAGTCATTATTTGTGCTTCGAAGTTAAGGATTTTAATAGCGCACATTAAAAATTACATTATTCCATAAAAATTCTAAGTTAAGGATTTTTATAGCGACCATTAAAAATTCTTTCATAGTTAACTGACTGGTTTTCTATGATATATTGGAATTTGTCAAAAGAAAAAATGCTTTTTGATTTTTGGGGTGGGTTGGTAAGTAAAGGAAATTAATCAATGATACTCTTGATGTTCACCCCCTGCTTTGCACGATCTTGAAATTTGGGTATCGATAAAATTCTATAACCTGAAACCTTTCAGCTCTTTGTCACCAATTGATGTTTCGTATTTTGTTGCAACTGTTTAGAAACCCAATTTCTTTATGCATTTCAAACATACAAAGAGCAACAAACTAGAAATTATGTGCTAGTATAGCTAAACAAGCCACAGACTGTTTCTCAAAAAAAACAAGAAGCCTGGCTGAGGGAATCTTGGTTGGGAACTACACTACGTTTTATGGAATTTATGGTTTGGTTTTCAAGCTGGGGGAGTCAACCACCTGATTTGCATGGATGATTTACAGAAGGTCCATGTGTAAATATTTTCTTTTTGTATCTTCATTGTGAACTCATAAATGTTTGCTGATTCATATGCATGTTATACATGTATGTTCACATGCATATATAGTTCGTGTGCTCGCAGTTGATGTAAAATGTGTTTCTATAAATGTTGGCTTGTGATAAATTCCTGTTTGTGTAAATGACAAGTAGCCTATGCTCAGATGGTAGATGGAATATTGACCTTCCAACGAAGTCTATGCCTGATTAAATCTGTTGTAGTTTGGAAACGTTTGTGCTTTGCTTGATGACATCTCCACATTCTCTGAATAAATTCAAAAGGTCTCTCAATAAATGTCAAAAAGAATTGATCAAATTTGTTGATTAGTTTGTGAATATTCGTGAAACTAATATCAGCTAAATGTAGCATATTATTATTTTTGCTTAATTGACTACTGTATTCAGCCTCTTGTCATGTTCTAAATGTTTTTGGATATAATAAAAAAGTCTTGGCCTTTAAGAGATCTAGTTGGCTATCGGTTGCACGTTTTTTTTCAACCGATATTTTTCAAGGCTGAGATGTGATCAATTCAACAATTATCTAGATTTCCCATTGGTTCATCAATTGATAGCAAATTCAGTGTGTGTGTGTGTGTGTGGATGGTATTGCATTTGCTAATCATTAGACAGCCAACTTATTCAATATCTCTAGTAAAGATCCAAATTCTTATAAAAGAATGTTGATTATTTAACAATCAGACAGCAAATCGGTTAAGCAATCATATGACTACCAGGTAGCAACTGTAGTTAACACTCAACGGTGAATCTGTGGCTACATCATGTTTCAATATGGAATTAGTAATGGGGCATTTAAAATCTATGTTACAATTAAATCGCTGTTAAGAGAAGAGCCGACATTCCACAATGCCAAAGTGCTAAAGGTAATCAATCCAGTTTTACAAGACCAATCTTCTTAAATGACTCAAAACCTCTGTAATCAATCCAGTTTTACAATATGAATTTTCTAAAGTCACAACTCTCCTATTGTCCACCTGAACTTGGCAATATCATATTCTAAAGATCTAATGCCAATATTTCCATTATCCAAGCTGAAAACCAACTCTTCACAACCTCCTATGATACCAGGGCCATTAAAAGCGACTTCGAAAGCTTTCCAACAAGCAAAAAACACATTGACTACAGGAAACAGAAGCAAGCAAAACAAAAAAGGTATAGGAAATAGAGATGGGAATATCAATATCATATTCTAAAGATCCAATGCCAATATTTCCATTATCCAAGCTCAAAACCAACTCTTCACAACCTCCCCATGATACCAGGGCCATTAAAAGCCACTTCAAAAGCTTTCCAACAAGCAAAAAACACATTGACTACAGGAAACAGAAGCAAGAAAAACAAAAAAGGTAAAGGAAATAGAGATGAGAAGCCAATTATCAATATCATATTCTAAAGATCCAATGCCAATATTTCCATTATCCAAACTCAAAACCAACTCTTCACAACCTCCCCATGATACCAGGGCCATTAAAAGCCACTTCCAAAGCTTTCCAACAAGCAAAAACCACATCAACTACAGAAAAAGAAGCAAGCAAAGCAAAAAAAAAGAAAAGGAAATAGAGATGAGAAGCTAAGTACCAACTTTCCTTTAACCCAAGCTCAGTCTCACTCTAAAATCCCAAACTCACACAAAACCAAGAACATTTACAAAAAAACCAAGAGCCCATGAAAATTGGGGAGAGAAAAACCAGGGCCAACATCAGTGATCACTCAGTTTTACGATCAAATAATGCATTCTTATTAAAAAAATGATAGCAAGTGAACTGTAAGTGCGAAGTAATCAAGCTATTAGGGTTGTTGTACCATGAAATAATGGGTTAGGCTTCTCTTTGTATCTTCATTGTGAACTCATAAATGTTTTCTTATCCATACGTATGTTCTTTCAAATGCGTGTAGAGTTCATATGCTCGCAATTGATCTAAAATGTGTTGCTTATATGCTTGCTTGTGATAAATTCCTGTGTGTGATATGTATGGCGGTATGTACCCAAGTTGCAGGTTCACATGTTTCCAATGGTTTGAGAAAATCTTTCTCATTGATGCCTGTTTCTCCTGTTTTGCTTCTTTGCTATGGGAATGTTTACTACTATGACAATGGACCGTGGAAAACCATTGCCCAATCGGGTCATCAGGTTGATGGAGAGAGAGAGTTTGTCCACCAAATGGATCATGTCTTCATTTGAAGGGTCCAACTCTGGGTCACCATCAACCAATTTCACAGGACAGTGACAGGTGATGGAAATTTTTTTTTCCGCAGTCTGTTGGATAATAGTGCACCTTCCAATGTGCCTTAAGGTTGACTGGATTTAGTATCTCCATTTGTTCTCAACCATTTCACTGGAAAGTGATGAGTGATGGACTATATTTTCCATAGTCTGTTGGATATAGTGTACATTCCATTTGCCATAATATCGACTAGATTTACTTACCCTCATTTGTGATTTCTCTCAGTCATATATGGTCGCCCATATCCATCATTATTTTTGATGGAATAATGCTTGGATAGATAAGAAACATATTTATAAACATGCAGGGAGTTATCTACCTTTCAAGAAACAAAGGATGCCGGTGCAATTATTGATTGTCTACTTATATTAGATGGTGTGGAGATTCCCAAAGAATTGGATGATCCATTTATCCGTGTTGTGCGTGTTAGCCCTCTTGTAATGAAAAAATTAGCTGGGTTGCAATCGATGGACTCTATTGAAGCGATTGGTGTCATGAGAATCCCTTATAGCTTTTGTGACATGGAAAACTTAGACAGGGAAACAGATGTTTGGAGTTGGTCTACCGTTCCACATAGGATATTAGTCCTTGATGGGATCCAGGTTTATTTTCTCAATATTCCTATCTAAATTTCAAATTATTTTGAAGTCCTTAGTATCATATTTTTAGGTTCATGCTTCTTTCTTTTAATAGGCTGTTTATAAGAATAGAATGACAATATCTGAAGTGGAAAAAAGAATTCAATTGATCCAATATTTTTTGCATTGACCAAAGCCACCTAAAATGGAATTTCCCTTGGGAAAGGTTGCCACATTGGTTCTGGCACACTTAGCCCCAAGACCGACATGAAAATGGATAAGGCATTATTAAAAAATGGTGGCTATTAATACACATCAACAAAATTGGTTATTTTTGAAATAGTGACTCTTAATCTCATGTTGCCTTCAAAATAGTGCCACACACATCTGGGCTGTGAGCAATATGATCCTAAGTAGTTGAATCTTAAGCACTGAATTTGCTCAGAATAGTGTCGTATGCTAGTTAGTTATATGCTGACTCAAATTTCTCCATGGACACAAAGAAAGAGAAAACAAAAGTGGGCTTTATGACTAGAGGAAGGAGTAGCAAGTTTTATTTGCATGGATTTTAGTTCCATAATTTATATGGACAATGTCAATGATAATGTATTTTTTATTAAGTTGGATGTTATATACCTTTCTTGTGATTCATGGCATCAATATGATCATGCAATGTAGGATTCATCTTCATTTGTCCCCTTGCAATTAAGTTTTAACCTCAACACATTCTCTTAGGAATGACTTTTAATCTAGAGTTCTTTTTCAAACCTTGATCTGACTTTGGGATTTCGGACAAACTTTGGTGAAAACTTATTACAGAATATTTATTTTAAATTATAAAAAGTGAAAGCTACCCATATTTCAAATTCAAAGTTATTTTGTAGCAGACTCCCGTCCAAAGTCTTTATTATGTGAACTTCCATATATATGTATATATGTATGTATGTATGTATGGATGGATGGGTGGATGCATGTATGTGTGTATGTATATTACAAACACTCATGGGCGAATTCTACAATATTTAGCTTATGGCTCGTCACTATCCAAAGTCCATCATGGTTACGGTTGTCTAATAGTGTTTGAATTTTTAGTAGTTTTTCTACAAATCCTATTCATCTGAAATTTAGAACACGAGTACATCTAACCAACCCGTACCTAAATAAACTATTAAACAACAAATTTCAAAAAATAAAATGATTAAAATACCCCTGAAATATTCATAGGCTAATTTGGTTATTTTTATTATTTGAATTATTTTTTTATATTTTATTTATGTGCGCATCACTAAGACGCACATACCCACAAAACTTAATGTTAATTCTGATTTGTAGAAAATTTATTAAAATTCAAACACTATCAGGCAATCGTGACCGTCAGATGGACTTTGGATGATGATGGGCCATGAGCAAAATACTGTAAAAATTCGCTCATGAGTATTTTTTAAGTGTTTTAATATATATATAATATATATATATATATATATATATATAT